ACGAATATCGATTAGTACGAAAGCTTGACAACTTGAATTGAAAGTGTGTGTTTGATAGAATATTGCTTAGCTCATCTCGAAGGTCACTCGTTGCCTACGCACCATTAGCTAGCTACGTAGGAGAGAACTGAAAGTGTCTCATAGAACTGGAACTGGAAAAGCTTCAGAGCAAAGACAATGCTCGGTCCAAAGTCGTCCTCTGTGATCAACGCTATGAAATGACTTCAGAAGAATGGAGCTCGGTAGAGCTCAAGACCGTTACACAAAACAAAATGGAATAATGGGGGTGCAAGATTGTTGAGCTCATCGTGATTTCCAACCACCATCCATGATAAGTCACAGTCCAAGAAGCCCTTTCGTTCGCGATGGACCTCGGAGTAAGCAGGTAGGCGGTCCCATGATAAACTGTTCTACACCACCATTGATCGAATTTCCTCTGACTAAAGCTGCTTTTGCTCCAAAATTCTTCACGGGATCAGACCATCATATCCTATACTCTACATTCGATACTTCCATGCGTGGAAAAGAAGCAGCGGACTTCATCCCCAGCAATATTGCAGAAGCTTCACCATCCTGGATATACTTCCAAGAACGTACGAAAATTTTGTTTCTATACTATGTTGGAGGTGTTGGATGAAGCTCAAAGAAATCAGCTTCTCGCAAAGTTTATTGCTCATTGAACACCTCGATGATTTTGCTAGTAACTAAAAGGAATAAAAGCAGCTTTCAATTCTTAAAAGCTCTTTTTTTAAATTCTCCACGTGTACGATGGGGAAAGTTTTTCCTATATGGAAATGTCATGATTTTATGGCATTGCTAGCGCTCGAAAATTAATGCCATTTATAATCGCTAAAAGAATCCGTGGGCGCAGTAGCTTGCCATTGTTTGCTCCAGTGTCTAAGCTCACGATATCACGTTTTACACAAAATAAGCTGTTCAAACTTTCTTAACTATTACTTAGAGATTATGTTCAGAGCTGTTCTATTTGTACTGGCCTTCTTCACCGTGAATGTGGATTGTGCGAAGGTCTGCATTTTTCTGTTTTTTCTGCAGGATGTGCAGGATCTAATGAACTCGAATAACAGAACCAAATTCCATTTAAACCAGAATTTCGGGAAAGGGCTAATTTAGAACCGAACCTTCGGAGAGATCAGCGATTTCGGTATCACTTGAGAATAGCATCTTCGTCTTTGAAGTGGATGAGATGAGGGGATGATGATTCAAACCCTTCTAAAAACTCATTACACAAACTACTCTCGTCAACGGTGCGATCTACTGGACGACACTGACTCGTTAAGGTACACACGCACTGTGTGCAGCTTCGCAGAGTCGCTGCGGAGCTAAGACGCTTCAGCCTCCTATAAGTGAAGTTTCCCTGCTTCACAACAAGCTACGCCCACATGTCGCAAAAAAATTGGTTTACAATAGCTACGATGATTGCGAGCATCTCTAAATGGAAATTTATCATTACTCCTGTCGAATACACGAGAGTTCTGACAGATTGGTATCCGTTCCGGGCGACTGGTGTTCGTAGTTAGCCAATAACTTCAGGAAGTGGAATTTCTTTTGAATAGTTTGAGGGCGTGTATCGGTATCATACATGTCACATGTCCGCTCTGAATCAGCTAAAAGCTTACGTTTGAGTTTCGAGTTTGAAATGTAAACCTCTCATGACACAGAGTGTCCCCAGAATATTCCAGCGAGTTGATAAGCTCACCTACTTTTGTTTTCGAATACAGCTTGAATGACATAAAACTTTAGGTGAAGTGTAGGTGAATTCGTTAGGCAGGTACAAAAAAAGGATCGCTCGAGCAGTAGCCCCCACCATTCTATGATAATTTTTCGAAAATCGATAAATAACTCAAAATCTGCAGCATTAGGTAAGGCTTCAAGTAACTCGTGGCATATATCCAGAACCTAACTCTCAAGAAAAGCAGCTAATCGACACCTGGGCTCTAAGAGAGAAGCTTAAAATCGAAACGCCTTTCCCTGCATGTGAGTGTAGCAGTTCGATTTGGATCTTTTCTCTTTATAGCTGTTTAGGAGCTTTGGAAGACGGGAAGGACTGGTGATGTAGTACTAAAGCTAACATATTGTTCACAATATTTATATTTATTATGCTGGTGAACTGTGGCTGAGTTGGCACTTCTTTAGCGAGAAACCACAAAGGTCATCCAGCACGAAACTTTAGACTTTTCTTGGAAAACGTCGACGATCGTACGAACGTTCCCTCTCAAGGAAACGACGTAGGTCGTCAAGCATTCTGGCAGATTCGTCCTGAAAATTGCTCGAAGAAGTATGGCATACATGAGGAACGTTCAGCAATGAAGAAACGAGATCAAACCTTGTCCTCGAAGTCTTCCCTATCATAGTCACGAAAAAGTTCATGTCGCAGTCTGGCAAACCTTCCCTGTAAATTGTTTGAGAAAGAAGACACCCATAAAAAACAAGCAGCAACGATTAAAGAAGACCGAACATCGTAGGCAGGATACTCGTCATAGTTGGCATCCTCGAGGAAACGAAGAACGTCCTCTTTCAATCTGTCCAATTCAGTCTGAAAATTGTTCGAAAATAGAATTGCATATATGAAAAACGTTTGGCGATGAAGAAACGAGACCAAACCCTGTCCTCGAAAGGTACCCTATCGAAGTGACGAAAAAGTTTATCTTGCAATTCAGCAAATTGTTCCTGAAAATTGTCTGAAAAAGAACGGCATCCATAAAAAACAAGCAACAACGGAGAAACAAGACCGAACATCGTAGTAATAATCCGGCTGAGGAGGTCCTCGCCGATATCCATAGTACCGATCAATCTGAAAAATAATCGAAAAGGTGGCGGCATGGAAGAACATTTCATAATCAAGAGACAAGGTCATTTATGAAGTTCAGTCCAGACGACACTTGATTAGTAGGCCTCATTTTGCCCACATTAAACTCGTACCAATCCTTGGATTGTTGGAGATAGCAGATCCTAGATCGTATGAATATATTTAACTTTCAAGTTGAAAATCATGCAAAAGACCCCATCGAATGCGAATACGGAGTTTTTGGGAATTTTATTCCGCTTATCGGTGATTTCTCCGAATTCCGTAGCTGTTGCGGGATCAGATGGGTGGTAGCAACGTCTTTACCAAAAAGTTGCCACTGCACTAGTATACGAACATCCCTGCAGAATCACAAGGCCACTTTCATGGAGTAAACACCTTTGAGAAACTTTTCTACTGCACTGGCTCACTGTACCTTCCTCTGGAACCTGTTGTAGTAGTCCACTTTTAATTGCAAGTGATGGTGATCCAGCCATTTGTTGAGCAGAGCCAAGCAGGCATCTACACGACGATCACGATAGATATTCACTTATGAGAACGTCAGCTCCAACATAGTTGATCGTTTTCTGCAGATTGAGAAGAAATCCGTTCTCTACTTCCCTTTCGCTTGCTCAAATTTAGATTAGGTAGGCGTCCGTACTGCTCTTCATTTCAAGAGTGTAGCCGCCCTTCTTAAAGTGTTCATTCCGAGAACTGATTGTTCTATAATTTGGCAGCATCTCATGTTGGATCGGCACCTTTGATCTTAAAGCTGCGGCATAAGAAAATCCGATATGACGCAGAAAAAGATCTGAGGCAAAGTAGTCCTGCGTACTGAAGAAAGGAGGTCTACTAAGCAGACGAGCGCTCCTGAGAGAGACAGTATAACCATACATCAGGAGTTGTCGCTTGGATGCCTGAGCAGATACTCCAATTTCAGAAAGTATTAGTTTGATCGCAAAGTCTTGATAGGCGATCTTGATAGGTCCTTCGATTTCTGCCCTATATTCATATTCTATCATGTGATAGTTTTAGAACATTTTGGAAGCTCCTTCGTGAGGGTATATGAGGGCGTGTGGGCCTACCTGAGTTCAGACACGATGTCGGTTTCACAAGACTATCGAGCCATCATCTTCTATGAGTAGCGCCGCGGCACTACCACTAGACAGCAGCAGTTCACAACATCAACAGCGCATGCGGGAGGGCATCACTTTCATCGCTATAGTCCATTGCTGTTTTGCTCGTTACAAGGAAGGAGACACGGGCTTCGAATTCAAGCCTGATCGGAACCCCGTCGACGACTCCGTCATTCTCGACACCGTCAAAGAGGGTCCGGAAGTTGACACCCGCAGTCTCGCGACGAGACTTGCTGTGCTCAATCAACAGTCGTCGGTCGCCTTCAGGCCTTCAGTTACAAAAAAGTGCTGACTCAATCGATACCTCATGTATTGATCGATAGCATGCCTGGCTGTCCATTTGTCAGTCTCATCTTCTTCGCCCTCATCATAAGGAGTTTCGATATTGCCTATTTATGGAGATGAAAGCTAGACCCTATGCGAGGGCAACAAACCCGCGTCGTCTGGCTCTCGTGCGGAGAACAACCACTGACGCAAGCTAAATCCGGCCTCCATCGCGAGCAGATTCTCTTTTGCTGCCTCTGGGATTCGGGAGGTATGTTGTGTTAAGAACTGCTCAAGCAGACCACACTTTCGCCAATTGCTATCATGCTGGTCAGCAGAAATTTCGGAAGTCGTTCGAGAGAAACGGCCTATACAACTTTTGTGCGCTTTACAATGAAAGCGCCTGGCCCTACATATGTGGAGAAATTCGTGCAAAATTCGTAGAGTAGGCTTGAACACGGTTCCCCCATACATCCTATTCACCTGATATTGCCCCTTCAGTTTACCACTTTCCGGCCTTTCAAGGCTTTCTTAGCGAAAACAATTCGTCAACTATAAACACCTTAAACAAGCGGTGTCTTCTTTGATTTCAATCTCCTCAGATCTGAGAGAAGGGAATGGCTGACCTGCCCTTTACGTGGGACAATATTATAGCTAGCGATGGTTATTATATCGTTAATTAACGTGCAGGTGAAAAGGAGGCGGGGGAGGGGGGGAAGGACCGTGTCGATGAGTGTCATATTCTACACCAATTTGTTCGCCCGGCTGACGCAGGGCTTCTCTCTATTTTCGCCAAAAATGTGGCATTCTCCTCATTGTCCGCTTCTCCTTTGAAACAAGTAATATTTTTCTGTCCTCGAAGTTTGACACAGGACTAACAGGGAAGTGCAAGTGGTATTTAGTACAAGTCTTTGCTCACACCTTTGATTGGAACTGTCGATTTTTTGCCCTATTTCTTGAAAATAATTACTCAATAAAGATTTAACCGTTAGGTAACCAAAGCTTTGGGCGGTACTCACAAATGTTTCTGGTGGTGATAACAGTTGGGTCGCCCGGCTAAAAAATGTAGTCAGGGGGCATAACTTCTCTCAAACACTCAAGGCTACAGTGCAGAGGAGGGGCAGCCGACCTTACCTGTGCCTAGAAAGGGTTGTAGGCGGAAGAATGAGCTTTTAAACCAAGCCTAAGGAGGGGTAGGGGTGGGATAATTACCTCGTGCAAAATGCCACAATGGGGGTATGAGTTGAATATTCAATTGATACAACCACCCCGGTGCTCCAACACTCCTGCTGCTTAGGTCAAAAAGCAATTTGTTCTAGACTAAGAAACGTTAATGAGCGCAATTATTATGAATGTTCCTTACCTACGCTTTAACGCTCAATGTTGAGAAAGAAACGGAGGTTTCCTAACTACTAAACTACAGGAGCATCAAAGAGTGATAGTAGGAATGTTGCCACTGAAAGTCCTCCAGATAGAACTGACGCTTTCGCTTAAGAAATTTAGCATGTTCCACAGCTCTTAGAAAAATAGAAAAGCACAAACCTTTGCATAAACCGCAGTTGCTAGAATAGCGAAAATTATAGCATGGAACACTTCCATCGGTAAACTGCACGTAGCCGCAAATGATCACCCAAACAGCTGTGAAGCAGGTTCTGAAGCTAGTGGTTATCTTTATGAAAAGTGAGCTTATATAGCTCATAGCAATAGTTTATCAGCACCCATATCTACAACGTGTTGAGCCGGTCGGCCGATATCAGCACTGAACCGTTACAGTGAAAGCTTTACTAGTTATTATTCGTTTTGACTTNTTATGAATGTTCCTTACCTACGCTTTAACGCTCAATGTTGAGAAAGAAACGGAGGTTTCCTAACTACATTATCACCTCCATTTTTGTATAGACGCACACAGCACGATGTACAGATCGGAATCACAGTCTGAAGTACTCACTTGACTCTACATCACTCACCTCACTCACTCTACTCCATTCACCTACCCATCACTTGACTGCTTCACATGTAGGAATGAAATGTGGGATAGAGCTAGGTTTTCCATATCACTACCTTCATCGTGATCACAAAGTTGTGCGGACGGATAGACCGACATACTGACATACCGACAAACCGACAAACAGTAAGAAGAGACAGTAGGATACTTGGCTCTATTTGCTTAGTGTAGTCCATTCCTACAAATGGTAAACAAAAAACTGAAAAGATAGCTTCATATCGACCAGAGTAGGAAACAAATTGTCAGAGCAAAACAAGCAAGACTAGCTATCAGGAGCATCAAAGAGTGATTGTAGGAATGTTGCCACTGAAAGTCCTCCAGATAGAACTGACGCTTTCGCTTAAGAAATTTAGCATGTTCCACAGCACTTAGAAAAATAGAAAAGCACAAACCTTTGCATAAACCGCAGTTGCTAGAATAGCGAAAATTATAGCATGGAACACTTCCATCGGTAAACTGCACGTAGCCGCAAATGATCACCCAAACAGCTGTGAAGCAGGTTCTGAAGCTAGTGGTTATCTTTATGAAAAGTGAGCTTATATAGCTCATAGCAATAGTTTATCAGCACCCATATCTACAACGTGTTGAGCCGGTCGGCCGATATCAGCACTGAACCGTTACAGTGAAAGCTTTACTAGTTATTATTCGTTTTGACTTAATAATTTGTTAACTGCTTTTATAAGGCCGCAGTTCGCGACGTCAGAGCCTCACAAGGACGACGATGTATGGACAAAATTCAGAACAATGGCCCGGAAAGCACAGAACGGGATCGAGTCCCATCCAAAACTAAAGTTTTTCTAGATTGCCATTCTTGTGAAACTTTCGCATCGCGTACTGCGGCGACATAACAGCAGTTAACAGATCATTGAGCTTATGCACACGAGTAAACTTCTCGAAACCTTTCGAGGCACTTAGTCTTTGAGCGAAAATGAATCGCATTATGGCTTTTACTTCGATAGTGATAGACGACTCCTGCCGCCGACTTTTCCATTTTGAAGCACGAAATCATCTTCACCAGGAACATGGTGAATGCAATTAAAGAAAACGGCTCATTTGAGCTGAAAGCTCTTTTCATCCTAACTAGAAATCCGAAATCAGAGTTTTGCGACTATTACTACTGGGCTTCACCAGATACTTGTTAAGTTTATAAGCTTATAGAAATAAAGAAATCCATTCAGAAGCCTCCGTATCTTGATCGAATAATCATCGAAGAATTAAGCGTTAATTACATGTATTATATACTACCAGTCGGTTCGCCCGGCTAACGCCAGGTTCTCCTCCTTCTTATGGGTTCGCCCGGCTACGCCGGGCACTTTCCTTTCCTGTCAGAAATTTGCTATGTGTAAATAACACTTCGTATTCTCCTTTTCCTTTGAAAGCTCTACACCCTCAGTATCAGCTCCGAAATGGGAGCGATTTTTTTCTGTGAACCATCTTAGCTGTGTTCGAGTAGAACATCGTATAATATCAAAAAGGCGATTATTCAGAGAAAAAAGAGAGATGGGCTAAGGAGGCGTATCCCCGTTAAATTTCAGTGCAATTGGAATGATCCGGCACTGATAGCATAACATTCTGCTATGCAGAAGTGGAAGTAGTTTTTAAAAAAAGGCAAAATGAATGACAGTCAACTTTGGTAAATGTACAGATATCGGATCGCCCGGCTAACGCCAGGCTCTCCTCCTTCTTGTGTCAAACACCCTCTCCCGAGAAATGTTGAACTGGAGAATTTTATTCCCTTTCTCAACGTTTATAGTTTTTAAGTTTTATTCCGTGCTTAGCTGAGTGAGAGTATGAAACTGAAACAGAGCTCGGAATCCTTCTTTGACACAACAGAAATCGAAAGCTCCCCTCTTTCCTTGATAGTTGTAGTAAGTCTAACTCTCCACTCCTTTTTTGGAACAAATGGCAGTTTCCTGTACACGAAATTTGACACAGGATCAACAGGGCATTGCAAATGGTATTCAGTTGAAGTCGGTGCTTACGCCTTTGATTGGAAGTCTCGAGCTTTTGCTCTCTTTCTCAGAAATAATACGTATCGAACCAACTGTTAGACAATCAAAGATAATGCTGTGGAGATGTTCTGAGCGATGATAGCACCGTTATCAGATATTTTTTTATCAATGGACCCTTTTTTTTTACCAAGATATCATTTGTTGAGAATTCTAGATTACAGGCGGTCGAATAAGTTTTCTCGCAAATGACATCGAGCAAAGAGGATCCTTCATTGAATCAAAAACCTTGCTGGGTAGCGGTCGTAATCTAATAGTAATAAATGAACAAAGTTCTAATCTGCTTAGCGTATTGCCCTAATGGGTCCCTATCACTACACTTACCACTCACGTTTGTCACCCTGCTCTACCATCTCGTCTTATCGAGTGAAACATACTGAACGGTCAAAGCTACATCGTAGATACCGAAGATGTTAGGATTTCGATCGGTAAGTGGCACTCTTAGGTCCTTCGTTTGCTCTTATCAGTTATCATCAGTTCTTGTCACCGAGTACCTACGATCCTGTCACATCCTGCATCACCTATTAGAATGCCGAGGTTCCACTGGTAATACGAAAAGTGTGATCCTACCGAATTTGAACTTTCTAGGTCCACGGGAAAAGGAGTAATGAGTTTGCGGCCCAAAATTACTATCGCGCACGCCCCGCTCCCTGTGCACGGAGTCCGGACTGCCACCCACCATAAGTGTTCCGCCCCCTGTACTCCTATCAATTTTGAACGCTTTGAGTCTACTGGAACAGGAGTTATGAACTTGCGACCTAAAATTTCTATCGCGCACAACCTGCTCCTGCTCCTTGTGGGTGGAGTCCGGTCCTGCCACCTACCATAGGTGTTCCCATCCTGTCCCCCTTACTCATACCAAATTTGAACGCTCTAAGTCCACGGGGACAGGATTTATGAATTTGCGGTCAGACACACACACCGACACACACACGCAAACACACACACACACACACAAACACACACAAACACACCGACANNNNCGCTAAGTGCGTCTGTTGGTTTGTCGGTGTGTTTGTGTGTGTTTGTGTGTGTGTGTCGGTATGTGTGTCTGACCGGAATTTCTTGACTCCAGTAGACCTAGAGCGTTCAAACTCGGTAGGAGTACAGGAGGCTGAATGGGAACACTTGTAATGGGTGGCAGGACCGTACTCCTCTCACAGGGGCGCGGCGTGCGCGATAGGAATTTCCGACCGCAAATTAATAACTCCTGTTCCAGTGGTCCTAGAGCGTTCGAACTTTGTAGGATTACAACTTTTGCATTAATAGTGGAGTCTCAGCATTTTTATAAGGGACGTAGGATATGACGAGGGTAGGTACTCTGTAACAGGAACAGGTCATATCTGATAAAAGAGACAGTAAGGGACCTGAGAGAGCAAGAGCCACATTCCGATCAAAATTCTGACCCTTCGGTATTTACGATGTAGCTTAGGCTGTTCAGTATGTTTCATTAGATAAGCCGGGATGGTGGAGTATGGCGACAAAAGTGAGTGGTAAATGCAGTGATAGGGACCCATTAGCGGCAATACGATAATCAGATGAGGATCTTGCTCAGTTCTTGGCGCTAGATTACGACCGCTACCCAGCAAGCTTTGTGATTCAATGAAGACCTTTTTTGCTCGATATCGTTTGCGACAAATCTTAATCGACCGCCAAAAATCTGGGATACTCAACCAATGATATTCCCGTAAAGAAAGGGGTCCATTGATGAAAGCATCTGATAATGGTGCTATCACCACTCAGAACATCTCCACGGCATCCTCTCTGGTTGTCTAGCAGTTGGATTTTTGATGATACTTCTTTGTGAGAAAGAGAGTAGAAATAGACCTTTCCAATCGAAAGCGTAAGCACCGAGTTTCATTGAATACCAATTGCACTGCGCTGATAGTCCTGTGTCAAACCTGAAGACAGGAAAACTCCTCAAGTTTGACACAGGAATAACAACGCAGTGCACTTGACTACTTCTCTCCTTCTTTGACAAAGTTGAGTACTACAAATAAGGTTGGCAAAGAAGTCCGTCGACAAAATGAAGACCTTTTAGATCATGTCTAAAATTTTTCATGAAAATCAATTTTGGGAAGTACATCTGCCAAAAAAGTCAACAACCTTATATTATCCTTGAGCCAATCACTGATGCCGTCTCTTCAGGGTGAGGAAGCTGTGACTCAGAGAAGTAAATGACTGCCGTTTTCAGATCACATAAGGTTACGAATTCTTTTCCACAACGGGATGTTCAAGGAGCCGGAGCACATGGTAGTTAAAAGGGGCAACGCTCCGGGAGTAAGACTGATGAACAACCTGGAATCAAACGGAATCGATGAACTTTTGACGTGTGTCTTAATCGGGTTTTCGACGTGCGTTGTCCCACTGTAGGGACCTGATTTACGCTTTTGATCGTTCTTCTCTCTCAGCGTCGTCCCCGTTGGTCAAATACAGGGATCATAGGGGTGAGCGATAGCTGTGTCCAACTAGTCTGCGGTTTGCAACTCCTAATGGATGGATTCCTTCAACCTCCAATAAATTGAGAGACGATGCTTGCATTATTCTGAAGGATAGTATCTCCTGCAGCGGGGCGATCCGACCGATTGTTGACCGTTGATCGATGAGCAGTGCTAGCATTGAATATGTTGCTGATAATTTGAGCCGCTACACCCACGTTTTTCCCTTGGCGTGCTTAGTAGAAGTTGATGGTACGAATCGGGTGTTGTTATTTCTTGACCGTAATGATGCGAAAGCCCACACGCGTGCCATTATTTACTCATGTGTTGATTGCCCGGGGAATGTCATACAAGTTTATAACACTTGCTACCGTGTTCACACAGTTGATACAGGATTTCAACGCTTCAAATTTTCTGTCGCAGGACTTTTTTGCCAACATAATATATAATGTTCAGTTCTGTAGAGTACCTGTTCCATTTGGTAAACAACTTGGTGAGTCGGTTCGTAAGTTAGTCGGTGTACCGGTGTGTCGGTATGTCATTGTCGGCGTCGGCGTCGGCTTGTCGGTCTGTCCGTCCGCAGAACCTATGAATGCGATAAAAGTAGTTATTTGGGAAATCTTGCTCTATACGCCGAGGACGGCGTCATCGGGCTGACAAATTCACTAGATGGCACCGTTAGCTGCACGCCGTTTTCGAGGCTAAAGAAGAAGTGAAATGAAGCAGTCCTCCATTCGATCTAGCTTTCTCTTGATGCAGTCCACGATATCCAATAAAGCATAGAACATGTCGTGGGTCTTCTTATTCCAGAGGACGCTCTGGTCATCTTGCGATACTGTGAGGGGTCGCAAGGTTGTTGGTTGTGGAGTCTCTTCTAGAGGAATTTTGCTGACCTGCTTCAGACGTACTTTTGCAGCAGATCGACGGATAGGAGTAGGATATCGGATGTTGGCAAGAGGTGCTCTCGCTCCAGAGGTTTCTAGCTCCGTCGTGGATCCACCTTTCGATGAAACAACAGGAGTAGATGCAAGCAGCGAACTACATTGTGCATCTCTAACGTGCATCATTGCCGCGCTCATAAGTGCAGTGCTAGTTCCAGAGATTGTGTATCCGAAAATAGTAGACGTGAGGATCAACCCAGATGGTAGTCTGATAACTGCCAAATTGTGGTCGAGAATCCTGTGCAGCAGGTCCTGTCCAATAAGTATATCAGGAGATACACTTGGTGGGCTAAAACTACGCTGCGCAATCGGAATTCTATTCTTCGTTATGGAGTATCTGTCTACTTCTGACAGCTTGGCAGTTCTCGTAGGTGCCTGACAGCTTGGCAGTTCTCGTAGGTGCTATTAATTTGTCCTTGGTGTAGACTGGTATACGCTTTAGCTTTTTTGAGCTGCGATGGCTCTTTAATGTAATCCGAATTTCATCAGATTGTGAAGTTTTTCGTAACTTTCACATCTCGGCAGCAGTGGATGATGTAGCACTGTGCGATGGCAGCTTAAGTGATGCTGCAAATGATGATTTGATGAAGCTACGTTGAGCACCAGAGTCTAAGATCAGAGTTACATTTCGATGATCCATCTGCGACTCATCAAAAATTTGAGCTGAAACCATTTGGGGCACATGTTGTCCACTGGCCGGTTGGTTTCGCTCGGTCTTTACATTCAACTGAAAAGCAGTTGCAGGGAAGGCTTGTACTAGGCCGCTTTCTTGAAGCTGGTCGTGCAATCTTGACGGCTGTCTAGAGCGGTTGTGATTTGCCAAAGTTGTGCTTCTTGAAGTTGCTTGAGAAATTGCAGATGAATATGAATATTGTGTAAAACTCTGTGCGTTTGCTGGCTGCGATCTGCTTCCATTAGAGGTGCAGAGTGATGAATGGTGATCTTCGTTACATTTTGGACATTTGCTGACGACAAGACATTGTCTTGAATTGTGCCCTTTGTTGAAGCATCTCCAACATACTCTTTGTCTTCTGGCTTCAGTTCTGCGCTCCTCTGGCGAGACGAATTT